AAAGAAAATATGGCAGGGCCCAAAGGTGGCCCGTTTTTGGCCCGTGGCCAGATTGAGTAGAAATCAACTGTCATGATAAACCTTTCAGACGGAGTGTGATAATGAAATCAGCTGAAATTAGAAAGCGCATGATTTTTAGGGCAAGAAAATATGCAGTTACCCCGCACTGATAGAGCAGTAATGGACTTGTCAGTCAGACAAAAAAAACAGAGGAGAGGATAAAGAGGAAATTCAGTTAAACNATGCCCCCAAGCCAACCCTAATTCTGATGGATGGCAAAAACAAAAAAAAATTGCCAAAAATTTGAAAGGATTTTGACAATAGCTAGAGAAAGATTTTTTCATACTGTACCAGCAGAGCTGTGTTGTTCATTAATTTTTCATTTTTCTTCAATTTTGTATATTTCAGATTTTAAAATCTGCTTGCTTACAGTTACCTTTCTTTTTTAGTGCAAAATTAAGGACAAGAGCAAAAATTGAAAAAAAATGTTTTCGAGAAACTAATAAAACTGTTTTTCCAGGCACATAAGTTAAACTACATTTACAGCTACAAGCTAGTCTTTCAAAGTGGAAACCTAATTCTCCAAATTTTCAGTTTAGCTCAAAATGTTTAGGAAGATAAGAAGAACAATTCGGCACACTAATAGTAAAAACAATAAAAAATTTAGTTTTAATTCGATTTTGACTCAAAAATGTAGACAATAAAGCAAAAAGGAAAGTGCTGAAATAGGTGGAGAATTGATAAAATGACAAGAGATTATAAAGGAGGGAATGGGAAGAGAATCAAATAAACACAAAAGTGACGAATACAAATAAATGAGTCATGAAAAAAGAGAGAAAAGTAAAGCTTAGTTGGTCAAATCGAAGAAGATTCATCAGAGGATGATTGAGAACTCGACGAGGCGTTCAGAGCGTCAACGAGTCGCATCACATCGATATCAGAATATTGTTGAGAAGTTGTGAAATGAATTTGGGCGATACGAGCCAGATTACGAACATTCCATGGATCACGCATTCGGGCACGACGAGCCACAATCCTCATGTGCCAGTAATGGTAAATCTGAAATGTTGAACTTTTCCAACTTTAGCATAAGGCAATGACATACTTCAACTACAAATGCAATCAAAGATGCAGATATTCCAAAGGCACCGATTGTAAAAACTCCAATGATGGATTCAATGTCCAAAGGTTTCGTTGCATCCGATTGTGCCTCTTCTGTTACTTCACATTTTGGAATGAAACCAAGTTTGAATCCCTACATTCAGTTTTTTCAATTTCGTTATTTCATTTTTTGTTTATTAAGCTCAGTTCCAGATACCGTACTCCCTCTAACCCACCCAAACCATCAACTTGAGCTCCATTATCTCGATTCCGGTGAGAGACATTGAAATTTTATCAGCTGATAAAATATTGGCGATATTATGATAAATAATTTATCAGTTGACAGAGTTTTGATATCTTTTACAGGAATCGAGATAATTGAGCTCAGAGTGCACGTATAGGGTGGCAGGGATGTTCGGAATGGAATTCGGAATTCCGAAAACTCCGACCATTTTCGGAATGATATTCCGAAGAAAAAATTCAGAATGAAATTCCGGTCGGAATATTTCCGAACGATTTTTTTGGAATCAAATTCCGGCCGGGAATTTTTCCGAAGCTTTTTTCTCGGAATTAGACATTTTTGAACTACGGCATGTTGCGGGAAAACTGCTTGCGGGCAGAATTGCTTCCAATTTTTTTTGAATTGCTTCCAATGTTTTCACTGACCTTTCAGAATTCAGAATCTTTTTTTCAATTTTCTCCTAATTTCTGTGATGGAAAAATATAATTTCAACTTTAAAATTTGGATTTTTAAAAATCGGAAAATTCCGAGATTCCGAAATTCCGAAAATTTCAAAATCGGAAAATTCCGAAATCCCGAAATTCCGAAATTTTTAAAATCGGAATTTCCGACGTTCCGAAAAATTCCGAAAAGGTCATTCCGAACATCCCGATAGGGTGGGCTTCTATTAGAAAAATTACGGTATAATGGATTAGAAGATCCCTAACATACCTGATTGAAATATTTATTGAATGTCCTTTGTATAAATGCTTGATTCATGATAATCTGTCGATTGAACTCTTCGATTCCAGAAAAGTTTTTCGTAAAAACGAAAAACGATGAAACTTGAGGCATTCCATCACTAACGTACACATAATTACATCGTTCCTTGCTCATTTGCATCGCCAACGAATCTTGTTGAATTGGATAAATGTATTTTCCAGTATCCCTAAATCCAACGCAGCAGATACACTAGCAGCCGGAAACTGGAATGTTTGAATTTCAGAACAGAATCAAATAATATTAAAAATTCACTGACCACTGGATTGGACGATGTTGCTGCTCGAAGTTTTACGAAGTGAGCCTGATCCGAATGTTGTAAATCATCGAAGTACCAATTTCCCATGTAGTTTGTAGTCAAATGATATTTCTTTTCACCAATCAATTTGATCATTTCATCGGCATTCGCAAATGGATTGTCTCCATTTGATGTGATAAGTGCAGTTAGCAGCATACCTTTGTACACTTCTATTAAAATGCCAGATTGTAAAAGTGCAAACACAAATAGGACTATATTTCCACCCAATGTGTAAAACAACATATCGTCACTCTTCTCATCCAATTGAAGTTGTACCACGTGCCATAGCATCTCAAATGGTCGAAATCTTTCTCGGAACAATAGTTTGAATTCCACTCGGCTAATAGCAATCATGACGAAAAGATTGAGAATCAGACTTGCTGAAAATGTTTGAAAATGAAAAAGTACCATATTTCGTCTAAAGGAAGCTCATCCAACTTTGAGCACAATTATCTCAATTCCTGTGAAAGATGTCAAAATCTGTTAATTGATAAAATATTGGTGATATTACGATAAATAATTTATCAGTTGACAAAATGTTTATATCTTTCACAGGAATAGAGATAATTGAGCTTAAAACTTGGTTGAACTTGAGGGATTCTGAAAACTTCTAACCAAGCAAGCACAGCCAAACTTCCATAGAGAATGGTTTGAACGCGTTCCACAGAACAGATCCAAGATTTTCAGTTTTCTTGCGAACAACGAATACTGGTTGAACCTAAATTCAACTTTAATTTCTTTTCCGTTGAGTAAAATTTTAATACGTTAGTCACAGGATATGAAAACTCGAAGAACTCATTTCGCATATCCGTTTTCTGATACATGAGAGCAGCTGCATCGGCAGTTCCGTTTTGAAGATATCCAAGGACTCCACTCCACGTACTGTTTTCCTAAATTCATAATTTTTTTGTAAGAATTCGAATAGTTTTGTACTTTACAGAGATGTCCAAATTCTGGATTTTGCGGAATATATTTTTGTCCGGTGTTCGTATTCCGGATTCCGAGAGAAAGCGAGGATTTTTAAACCTCTGCTATTAATAATGTAAAAATAAATAGAAAAATAATTCCGGACATCTCTGCTACTTCAAAAGACCTTACTTTAAGTGTTCCCCAATCGAGACCTCCGACAATTGTTGGTGTTACAACCGGTATAATATCCCATTTCAATGAATCACCTATCATTTTCAAAACCTGAAAACTATGAAAATTTGCAAAATGATTTTTGGAAATACCTCGATAGTCCATCCTGGAAATGGACATTGCACAATCACATCTAGAGTTGGAAATATAGGGCAATTGGCAAATGCATCAGGAGGATTTCGAGCGAGAACAACACGAAGTTGTCTTCGAGAAGACATTCCAATTGAAATGAATTATTGAGGACATCGGATACCTATTTGATGAGTTGCTTTGTTTAATTTTTATTTGCTTTGCTTTTATGTAAAAGTTTCAGATTTTGGATGTGTAACTTGAAAGTGATACTTTATTTGAGTTCAGGGACAAAAAAGGATAAAACAAAGAAGTTCGTGGGCGGGGAGTTGTAAAGAAGGATCATATGATTGGAGCATCTGGTCTTTTGGGTCCGGACACTCGGTTGAGTGTATTTTGGTGTGATATAAGTTTATTTTATCGAAGATATTATAAGTGAATGACTCGAATTCATACGATGCATCGATAACCGGTCAATGAGATATAACGCCTGACAATTTCAGCAGAAACTAACATTTCACAAGAAATTCACGGTATAGAAATTTCGAAAATCAGGAAAAGGGAAGAAGGAAGAAAGAATTCACCCCTACATTGAATATGTTTTTCACCACAATTTTTCAAATAAATTGTACTTTTTAATTTTGTTAATATCGGTTACAAATCTTGTTACAAAACCCGTTAAAGTGTTGCTAACTGGTTACAAAGGTTTTGTAGTGGTTCATTGAGTAGATTCAATAAATAGTGTTTTATAGGAAATCCGTGTTTTGTTGTCTTCTAGTCTTCAGGTTACACAGATGTCTTTGAGTTCACATAAGTAGAGGTTCTGTGAGTGCATAGCGTTTGTCTGTGTCTCTCACTCTCTCTCTGCGCCTCTTTGTTTTCAATAGTGTCTTTTAGCAGTTAGTGTTTCTGGAATCCGTTTCAGTTACATTACTATGTTTCTCCTATAGTTTCTTGGCACGGTCAGTTGGCTGGCTGATCTCATTACCGTAGATGATAAGTGGATAAATTACTCTATCAATATGCAAAAGGGTCAGTTGATTGACAAAGAAGAGCTCGCTCTGGACGTCTCGAAACCTAAATTTCATGTGAAAAGGGGGTTGTTATGTATTTAATGGTTTTTCAAAGAAATGGAGACTGGGAACTTTTAAATGAAGATACCACTATAATTGCCGCTTTGTATCATTCCTTTTTAGAAAAAAAAATTAAAAAATTAAATCTGGTGGTCAAATCGAAACAAGGAGAAAATACTAAGGTTTACTTACAACAGTGAGAGATCGCTAGTGACTAGAAAGACCAGCCAAAAATTCATGTCGTTTGACTGAACTATTTTTTTGCACCCGGCGTATTCTCCAGACCTTGACCTTTCGGATAAATGGCTTTTTGGGGCTTTTAAACGCCATCTTGATGGAAACGACTTTAATTGAAAAGATGACACCAAAAAGGAGTTGATCCACTATTCCGATCGCAGCCATCCTCGTTCTAGGCCAATGGAATCAAGAAATAGTTGAAGCGTTACCAGATACCTGTCAATGCTCATGGATGTTACTTTGATTAATCTAGCTCCCTCTGCTTTGAGAAAAATTTGATCAAAAATTTCACCAAAATCGAAAGAAACTTCTATAGTTTTCTCTATAGTTTTGTTCATAACTTTGCTCAAACTTGTCCAATCATTAAAAACTTTATGGTTAAATGTAGTTGGGTTTCCAACAAAACGTTGTATAAAATTTTTAAAATTCAATCAATTTTCGTGTCTTCTGAATCTTCACAGACGTGACGATGACTCCAGAAGCAAAAAAAATTCCGTCAGAAAGATTGGCTTTGTGATGAAAAATGTATGGTGTAGATCAAATATATACAGAAAAAACTCGGCTCAAAATGATCCAAATTTGCTCAAATTTCGGGAAAATGTGT